AGTAGTTTTTGTTTTTCATTAAACATTCACTGAGCATCTACAGCATGTGAGGCATGAATGCACAATATAAAGTCCCTTCCCTCAAGGCATTTATATCCTAGTGGAAAGAGACAAAAAAAGTAAACAAGTAAACCATAATATATTTATAGGCTGTGATTAGTGCTATAATTGGCTGGCTCCTGTATTCAATACCTGCTATATAAGGCTCTGTGGTGTCTATAACATTGAATAAGACAGGAATCTGCCAGCATAAGGCTTAGAATCTATGAAATAGCAGAGACCAAACAATTATCAGTCTCTGGTAAAAAGGATCAGTAAGATATGGCAGTTGTTTTGAGGATTAGAGTCTATAAAACTATGATCCGTTACAAACTGATATGCCATGCAGTATGAAACACTTCAGGTGTTCATTTAATGTAAAAAAATGTAAAAAACAGGGACTGTCATAGTGTTTCCTAAGACTGAAACCAAGGAATTTCATGCTTCACAGTTACTTTTTCTCTCTAGGTCAAACAAAATCTGATGCAGAATTAAAAACACAAAGTTATATGATGATATTGAATTGCCTCAATATCTACCACTGCAATTTTACATTTAATGATTTCATTTGCTGCCAGCATCTGTGTATACTGCACTAACATTTGTTAGCTGACTTCAGAATACAGGACAGAAATTTAAGTAAAATAAAATACCACCAGTAATTTTTTTTAATTCCTTTTTAAAAATTTACATCCAAATTAGTTAGCATATAGTGCGACAATGATTTCAGAAGTAGATTGCTTAATGTCTCTTACCCACTTAGCCCATCCCCCCCCACAGTCCCTCCAGTTACCCTGTTTGTTCTCCATATTTAAGACCAGTAATTTTTATATTAGCAGGATATTCTCTCCTCTTTTGTGTGTTTGTTTCAGGGATACAGTATTGCCATTCTTTTGATCCAGGAAAGATCTATGAGTCATCAAGAGCCATTCATACCAGCATAATTGAAGAATTGGCTAATTTGAGAAATGATGTGTTGCTGAGACCCAAAGAGGAGAAGATTAGTACATGGTTTAGTTTCACTTTAAGCAGGGTATCACTGCCAGGTATACAGAAAATTTAATTTCCTTTCAATCTCTGCTGCCAGGTGTCTGACTCATTTTTTCTGTGTGTTTTAACATGGATAATCCTGGGACAGTCAAGTTATTGCACACTAGAGCAACACTTTGACGTATCTTCTTTTTGTTTATTCATTTTAGAGAGAGAGAGAACACGAGTAGAGGAGGGGCAGAGAAAGAGAGAGAGAGGGAGAGAGAGAGAATCCCAAGCTAACAGCACAGAGCCTGATGTGGGGCTTGATCCCACAAACCATAAGATCAAGACCTAAGCTGAAATTAAGAGTCAGACACTTAACCGACTAAGTAACCCTGGTGCCCCTTGACAAGTCTTCTGATGTCAAGGAGAGAATGATGAGAGACATGCTAAAATTCCCACAAATAAAGCATCTATATAAAAAATTATTTTTGTATGATATACTTCTATAATAGGTTTTTAATTCAGCATATACAGATATTTGAGTTGTAATAAGTATAGGTTGTTTTTGGTCTATGATAATGACTATCTCAGCTGGATTCTCCCAGAAGCCAACTCTGAGATATGGTTTCAAGGGCTAGTATTTAACCTGGGAGATGACACTAAGGAGACACATACGGGAAGTGAGGAAGCAGGAGGGAAGGGGAAGAAAGCCAATAAAAAGGTATACTGTGAAGGTGTTCCTGAGGGCATTCGAGCTCAGTCTCAAGGTAAGCTCTGGAATATGCTGGATAATATGTCTTTGAGCTACCTTAGGATTAAGGCAACTAGATAGTTATATGCCAACTCTTGCCTACCTTTGGGTGAAGCTTGAATCTGGACCAATTAACTCTCCAGTGCTTCCAGCTTGCCCTGTGTCCAGGAAAAAAGCCCTGAGGCAAAAATGGGGTATGTGTTCCAGGAAAGTAGCCTTCAGAGAGTAAAGGGATAGGAGTGGGCTCTGACAGCCTCTGCTACTATCTATCCCTTGCATGCTGTGTTGTGTTCACTTTGTTCTGTCTCTGATTCCTCATGCTGATGTCCAGTCATACCAATCAGAAGTACTGATATGATGAAATATGGGCTCCTGTTGGAGTTGGTCCTGAGGCCATAGTGATTCCACTATCTTCCTCCTTTATCACCCATTCTAGATTTCCCTCACCCTCAACTAGCACTTCTGCTGGCCTGTATTGCTTGCTTGATGAAGTGATCCAGACCTTTATACCTGTGGGGTCTGAGCCAGTTGTCATGCCCTTGTCAGGCCAGGGTTGCTATGTTGCCCATTTATTGTTATCATCAGGCATGGAAAAGATGCCCAGGGAGCATCCTGAGTTCCAGAAAAAATACTCTCTGTCCTATTTCCTTTTGATCATAAGGGTCACTTTTTGTTGCCCAAATGTGGAGCCCAAATGAGGAGAGGCCTTTAGATTTAGTGGAACCTTGTGTTCCTTGGAAGAGCATCCTCTTCTACCACGAGAGCCAGGACTCTATCAGAGACGCAGCACTATATGATGATATTAGGTTCAAAATACATATTGCGGGGCGCCTGCATGGCTCTGTTGGTTAAATGTCCAACTTCGGCTCAGGCCATGATCTCATGGTTTGTGAGTTCGAGCCCCATATTGGACTCTGTGCTGACGGCTCAGAGCCTGGAGCCTGCTTTATATTCTGTGTCTCCCTCTCTCTCTGCCCCTTCCCTGCTCTCTCTCTCAAATAAATAAACATTAAAAAAATTAAAAAACAAAAAACCCAAATGCATATTGCATCCAATAAACATCTTCTCGACCCTGAAAAATATTTTCTCCAAGCTGGAGGCTTAGCTGTGCCTTTAAGAGGTCATTCTAATGTTCTCTCAGAGTGGCAGCTTCTGGGTGTGTGATGTATGGTAGAACCAGTAGATCTTGCATTGTCCTCTTTGTCATACTTCTTTCACTCTTAAGTGTGTCCCTGATCCCAGATGTTCTTATGGGAAATCCTATGATGATAAATAAAACACTCTGTGAGCAACTGGATAGTGATGCTTGTCAGGGCTCTGCAAAGAGGGAAGACAAACCAAAACTCAGGCTATGTATCTGGGTCTGAAGAAATCAATTTGCCACGTGGTTGTACTGGCCTTTGCAGCTGGAGTGGATGCACTCTCTGGATCTGCCTTGTTGAGAGGGGTCTATGGAGCTCCATCCCTGGTACCATGGCTACACCATTCACAGGCACAATGCATAAACACTGGAGTGGCCTAGGACTAGGGTGGTCAGTCAAATCATCCTGGGTACTGAGTGCCCCTCTGCTGTGGATACCCTCTGATGGGCATTCATGTGAGACATAAAAATTGGCCAAAGATGAAGTTTGGGTGAGGCACATGTCTGAGTTCTTTAGAGTGAGAGATGGCAAAACCTTCACCATGGTTGTGCCTCTGCTTCATAGCTCTTTTCCATTTAGCTGTAACTGGTCATCCAACAGGTCTCATATCTTTGGGAATTTCCAGACCAAAAGCAGATTTAGCATACTCATAACTACGGATAGTGCCAATAGCAGGCCAATTCTTCCAAAAACTTTGTCTCTATGCTCAGCTCCACTCTGATAGCAAACATAGGCTCCTCTATGCCTTAGGTCAGTAAGCACTAACCTTGCTTAGAGACTTGCTCTAAGCCTTGAAGAGGAGTCTGATCTCAATCATTTGCGTCTCTCTTTTTAAAGTATTGTGACTTTAGTGTAACTATATATTGTCCAAACAGAGGCATTTTTGACAATGAAAGGGACACTCTTAGTAGCTAAGCCAGGATAACAGACAAAAACCAGAGTTATCTCATGCAGAGTGGGACATATGATCACCCTTGTCATCTGATACCTTAATAGTCTAAGTGGGCAATTTAAATTCCAGGACAACCAGAAAAATCCCTCTAAATACTGTTACACAAGCAAAAACTCCATTGTCCTCCATAATAACATTTTGTTGCACAGACTTTCAACTCCTTTGTTCCCTGCTCCTTCTGTCTTGTAAAATTCCATTCTCACTTAGAACTAATTTTCTATTTCTCTATCTACACCAGAGCAGCCAAAGCATAACCAAGCACGCTAACTGCTTCCATTTTAAATTTAGGACTACACAATTCCAAGAAAGCTTTCAGCCCTGCCTGGAAATCTTGCCGTATTTTCTTTGTAATTTGAATCACAATAGCCAAGACAAAGACTTCACCTTTTCTTTTCAAACCCCCTTGCTTCCCATCCTCCATTTTCACGGATGATCTTGATGTGTCTTTCGCTAATCCAGTAGAAGAAACCAGAAGGGTATTTTTTCAGTTTCCTGTTACCACTTTCCCTCCATCCCCACCATTGCCTTTTCAGTGCAGATCAGTCATTTCTTGCCTAGACTGTTGTGGTCATTCCCTAAGTGACATTCTTTTCCCTCTTACTAGGCCCTGATTTATCCGAGATCCCGAAGAGAAGTGATTGCCTTTAATTAACCTTGGTAGATCTAACGCCCTGCACAGCGCCTAGCCCGTGGAGTTGTTCCTTAAGTTTAATTAATAACAGTCACCAAGTCTGAGAGTCTCCAGGTTGTAGCCTGACATTCTCCTCCACAATTTCCAAGGTCTTGTGGCTTTTGTGCCTCGTCTAGCCTCTGAGAGCCTCGGTAGGACCTACAACGTCCTGACCTGGTGCAGAGCCCGCCAGAAATCCACCAAGTCTCATCCTACGTCCTGCTAGAGGAGATCCGAGGGTACCGCAGCAAGCTGCAAGCTGCGGACCCCTCAGCGTACCCACCCCATATCCCTCCAGCGCCCTCAGCCACGCCTTCTGTCCCACAGTCCCAACACCAGTCCAAGCCCTACCGGAAGCCGGCCTCCGTCCTCCCACCCGCTTCTCCCGGATAGGGTCGGCCCATCGAGGACTCGGAGCTCGACTACCTGGCGGATCGACGCCCTCGGCGCTCCCAGCGGGCGGAAGTGAAGGCTCCGGCGTTTGGGGCAGCAGCCACCCGGGAGTCTTCGCGAGAGCCACCGGGAACTCGGTCGTTGCGGGCCGTAGGGGGCAGCAGCCTGGCTGGAGGTATGTTTTGGAGCCTGGAGGCCCTGGCTGAAGGCCAGCCTGGGAAGGCACGGAGAGGCGGCAGGGCGGCGGGCGCCGGCGGCTGGCCTCGCTCCCAGAGAGACGGGTGGAAGTGGTCCGCCAGTGCCGGTGTCAGCCTCTTGCACCGCTCTCCAGTCCCTGACTGTGAGGAGAAAGGCGCCGCGCGTTTCCCGTCCCCACCTCCGCGCAGTCCCTGGGCACCTGTTAGAGGCCCAGAGATCTTCACCCCCGCGCCGGGCGTGGGCCTTCAGAACACTGACCATCGACTGGTCGGTTGTAGTCGGCCTCAGTCGTTTCCCTTGCGTCCCTCCGTAGTTGTCACTGTGTCAGGTGTAAGAATGTATTCGCGAAGAGCGAATGTGAGACGTGTTTTCCTTGTTTTGCTTAAGTTTGCGTCAGTTTAGAGCTATAGTGAGGATTCTCTAGGTGCCTTTCATTCACTGTTCTAAGCGTTTACGTTTACTGACTAATTCTCACAGGAGGTAGATGCTCTATATTATCCCCATTTTACAGAGGTAGAAACGGAAGCCCGGAGTGGTTATGCAACTTGCCTGTAGTTACTCAGTTTTTAAACTTCCTTTGAGACAAGGCACCGAAGCTCTACAGCCTGCACAACCAAACACGGTGTCATCTCTCATGTACGCCTGGTAATGCTAGCTTGCTAGCCCAAGATTTTGTATAGACACTTAATTTTCAAGAAACAGCTCTTGAAAAAGATTGTCATTGAATGGAAGTAAGATATTCTTCATGGGTGAAGGTCAATTATAATAATAGGCATGAGAAAGTTTCTTTTTTTTTTTTCATGAATCTGAGTAAACTTACAAGGGAAACCTTTTAAAAACGCTTAATCAGCCACACCTTAGTTAAATAATTTGGATGCACTATATTGAAAAGCTAGGTCTAACTGAGGTTATCTGGCTGAGTCTCATAATACATTATAATATTTTCTTTATAAATGTTAGTATATTCTGGTCAGGCTTTGTGTAACGGACTCTACTAATGAAGAAACTGAAAGCCAGAAGCTTTCTGAGGATCATCTGTGTGTCAAAAGTTGTTGATTGAAAGGGTGGTAATAGAGGATGATGTGTGCTTACTACTCAGATGTTCTCTTCTGTTTAAGTAGGTGTTTTAAAACACTTTTTAAATGTTTATTTTTATTTTTGACAGAGACAGAGTGTGAGTGGTGGAGGGGCAGAGAGTGAGAGGGAGACAGAGAGTCCCAAGCAGGCTCCAGGCTCTGAGTTGTCAGCACAGAGCCCCATGCTGGCTCAAGCTTACCAGTGGTGAGATCATGACCTGAGCTGACGTTGGATACTTAACTGACTGAGCCACCCAGGGGCCCCTAAGTAGTAATTTAACTTAAGCAGAGGATTCCCCAGTGTCATTTGGAATAACTCTTGAAAGGTTCAGAAATTTTTTTTTCATGTCAAGCATTTAATTTTCTGTACTGAATATTACTTTGAACCTTTTGAAAAGATGATTGTTAATCTGCTTAAATTTTCACTTATTGCACTAATATTTGAGAGCCTGTTATGTATAAATCTTAGGGAAAATTAAATTAGTACTCAGATTTTGCAAAGCAGTCTTCTACTAGAGGATTTTGGTTAATTTCTAGTGTCAGGGAATGGCAGGATTAAGCCATTAGGAAATGCTACATATAGTTCTATGTATGTACATATATATACAGCTAATTTTTAAATCACTTTTTCATGCATTCTCCAACTTATTTATCTTCATGTAGCCAGGATTCTAGTACAGCACCTACCACATCCCAGGAGCTTCAGTGTTTATTGAATGGATGAATTTTAGGCCAGTGTTGAGTAGAGAGGATTTTGAAATTGACTGGCATGGGAAATAACGTTGATCACTGTGCTAAGCAGTATGCTAGAATGTTGATTGTTCTCAGATAGTGAGAATGCATTCATGCATCTTCAGGAGTGCCTGGTGAAATTGCATAGTAGTAGTGTTATTACATGGTTCAGTGTATGTTTATGTTAACTTAAAATTATTCATTTTAAAAGGATGTTTATTTATTTTTGAGAGAGAGAGAGACAGAGAGATTGAGAGTGTGAGTGTGGGAGGGGAAAAGAGGGAGGGAGACAGAATCTGAAGCAGGCTTCATGCAATCAGCGCAGAGCTGGACGCGGAGCTCAAACCCACAAACTGCGAGATCATGACCTGAGCTAAAGGCAGACGCTTGACTGCCTGAGCCACCCAGACGGCCCTAAAATGACTATTCTTTATACAAACTTAAAGTAATTGTAGAGAATATGACTCTTGAAGCTGTGGATACATCTATAGTCATCTTTGGCCCTCAGTTTGAAAATTATGGAGTCAAAGGTTTTTCAGTTTAGGAGTCAGAACAACCATTTACTGGTCTGTGAGCTACACCCATCTGCTTCATAGCATGGGCGTAGGCTCTTTGGGCTTGAGTTTCCTTTTTCCTGTAGTCAGGGAATATATAAGACTAGATTAAGAGTTTTTCCTGGTTTGAAAATTTTCAGCGTGAATCCAAAACCAGTTAGCACTTGTCCTATCCCTGTGTTGTTTTAAGGGCTATACATATTATTGGTATTTACATAATCTGTCAAAAGGCTAAGTTCTGGTTGGATGGAGATTAGTTTTGGCCATTTTGGTATCTCCCACTTTTAGCATATGCCTCATGTACGTATTAGAAATAAAATAATATTGGCTTAGATTCAGAAGGGGCATTTTTGCTCTCTTAATTAAAGAATATCTAAGAACTAAGCTATAATGTTGAGTGTAAGAATAGCAGGAATTCAGAGAAGGGAAGGATCTTTTGGGGTTATAGTAATTGGGAAAGCTTCATGGAGGTCAAACCTTGATGGGCAGGACATGGCCGTTCATAGGGAAGGCACTGGAACATCTGGATGGTACACAGAAGAAGGCCTACAGTCTGGTAAGTAAGTGCATTTTGGATTATGGAATGCCTTGAAGGTAAGGCATAGTAGTTTAGAACTGACTTGTGCATTTTTCCCCCCAGGAAAATTGTATTAGGCTTGCTCAAAAGCTTCATGAACATTCTTTAATACCATTGGTAGCATTTAAGACTGGGGTGCATCCCAGTCTTAATTTTTGGTTTTGATTTTAGTAATTCCTTCTACTTACTGTTTCCTACTTAAAATAAGTTTTGGTGCCGGTAGTGGAAAGAACAGTAGACACTGGGATTTGGGGAAACTGAAGTTTAGTTAATTAGAATGTAAGCTGCGTAAAGTGGATCCAAGCAGACACCTATAGTGGTGCATGGCACAAAGTTAGTATTCAGTAATCATGGTGCAATGATGAATGAGTTCTCCTTTTGCTACTTGCTAGCTGTACTGCTCTTATAAGGTTGGCTCATATAATTTCAACTGTAAGATTTGTTGAATTTTTTTTTTTAATATTTATTTATTTTTGAGAGAGACAGAGTGTGAGCAGGCTTCAGACTCTGAGCTATCAGCACAGAGCCTGATGTAGGGCTGGAACTCATGAGCTGTGAGATCATGACCTGAGCCGAAGTCAGACATTTAACTGACTGAGCCACCCAGGTGCCTCAGATTTGCTGAAATTTTAAAGGCTTTTTCCACTTATAAAGTTATGTGATTTTGAAGGTTATATGATTCTAACTTTGGTTGTATTATAATTTTACTGAAAGACAAAACGAGACTAAAAGCCAGGAATATTTCGTTTTAGCTTAATTTTAATGAAACCCCATGTGATTGATGTGATGTGTATCTGGATAAATTCAGCAGGAATCAGAATTCATACCAGGTGGTTCAAGTAGGAAGGTTTTAATAAAGGCACTACTTGCAGAGGTGTGGGCACGGTTAGGGAGCAAAAAAGGGATAGTGAGGCCCAAAGAGAAACTGACAAGTAGAGGGAACAGAAGGACAAACTACAGCTTACTAAGAGCTGGAACCAAGCAAAGGTGTATGGCTATTACCAGAGATGTCCTTGGGAGTGGGCAAGCAGGACTAAAGTGCCCCTACTTGAAACTAGTCCACTTCTGAAATGCAAAGCTCAAATCTCCCACTCTTTGCTTAATGTCTTATCTTTCTCACCCTCACTCAGTTACCTCCATTACAACTGCTCTTTTATTTTTTAATGGTTGTAAAATTGTACACTTTATTTTTTTCTTTTATAGTTTATTGTCAAGTTGGTTTCCATATAACACCCAGTGCTCATCCCAACAAGTGCCCTCCTCCATGCCCATCACCCCCCTTTCCTCCTCCCCACCCCCATCAGTTTGTTAGCTGTATTCAAGGGTCTCTCATGGTTTGCCTCCCTCCTTCTCTCCCAACTATTTTTTCCCCGTCCCCTCCCCCATGGTCCTCTGTTAAGTTTCTCCTGTTCCACATATGAGTGAAAACATATGGTTTCTGTCCTTCTCCACGTGACTTATTTCACTTAGCTACTCTTTAACCTGATATTTGGTCACTCTCATACCAGAATGCTCTGTTGTATCATTATCCGTTTGTATCTTCTGGCTGGCACATTCTCAGCCCTGGACCATTTCAACTTTCTTTACCTTCTTTAATGCTTGAACTGAGTTCCTGAAACCAATAGGGAAAAATTCTAGCATCTAGATTTGTATTCCTAGGGATCCATGGTCACCAATCTCAACTGACTATCAAAGAATTTTCTAGGGTTTTCCTTGTCAGTGTTTGCTTTTGCTCTCTGCAGAATTTATTTTAAGCATTTTCCATTTTTCTCAAATCTCTCATCTTTTTACATAATCTATACTCCTAGCAGATAATTTTGCCACCTACTTAACAACTAATAGAACTATCAGTGAAGAATCTCATGCTCTTTCTTCCAAAAAGCCTTTCCTCTTTCTCCAGTTACCTGAAAGAGATTGCAATTATCCTGAGATAGATCTTGCTTCCAGACCTCTGTATCCCATCCATTCCTGCCTTTGGGAGTACTTTATTTAATTGTTCATTGGCCAAAGGCTCATTCTTGTCAGCCTTTCTTTAATC